AGGGGTTGTGTGTGTGTGTGTGTTTGTATATATATAGAAAAGAGAAGTATAAGCGACAAATAGCGATCAGAAACAGTGGGTGGCAGAATACTACTATCAACACAAACCAGAGAATGAACTGTGGAACTTAAACCGTACTTTCGAAAGATATTTACTAATGCAAACGATCTAAAGTACACAAACCCCTAGTGTTGATATCAAAGCACAAGTACGTTCAATACAAATCTAGCATTAACACCGCTAGGGACATTACTCGTATTACAGCGAAAGACCGTTAAAGAAAGGGGCACAATCAGGAAGGTAGAGGGCACCAGCAAAAAAAAAAAAGGGAGGGGGGCTTGAATAGATAAAAAGTAATAAAAGTCATATGAATTCAAGGTACATACATACGTATAATCACATCTATTGTTATATCTATAAGAATACAAAAAGGGAAAAATAGTACTGTTTATCTTCTGAGAAGAAGCACGCGCTACATGATAAGGCTGATTTGTCTGTTTAACTTATAGGCTTCGGAAAGGAGTAACAAGGAAAATGAACTCCTACAGAAAAGAACTCGAATCGAAGATGGAGTACTTCCATAAATCTTTCTGACAAGAATTTTGTCGACTCAATCAGGTCTATTATTTTACTGTGAATGGCCGATGCTTTCATTCCTTATTTCATTGAATGTTACTACGTAAGCATATTTACGATCTTTATTCATCTAGTCGACTGGAAGACTTGACGTTTCGAGCAGTACAGTTATTTATCATTGAATTTTAACAGTTTAGATTTTTAACTATTCAGCTTTAAAACGAAAAAACTGCAACATTCATTTTGTGCATGTCGTGTCTCAACAACAAACAGAAAACATCACACACAACAATTTCATTAAAAGAATGTATCGGACGAAAATATTCAGTTAGAATTGTATTATAAAACGAATTACAATTAAATTAGATGTAAATAAATTGTTACACAGCCACACACGAAAAACACGAACACCCAAGAATTGTTATATAATAGCTACATTAATAGAATTGTTACTGCTCATTATACATCAAATACACCTTGAAAACGGACAGAAAAGGGAGATTGTTTCTTAAAGAAATTTATTACGAAATAAAATATAGGCTTCGATTAGGTGATTTTTAACACTTGTACACATAAAACGACTGGTGCCTACCCTACAATCTTCTACCACTATCTAAACACTTATTGTGGTCAAGTTCGAATACACAGCAGAAGCCCCAAATGCGTGGTGTTTACAAACTGTTATTCCACTTTATGTGTCACGACAATACGAGCAACAACCGCTTCCCTCTGGTCAAAAGCTTGGAATTAGAGGCAGCCATACCTCAACTTCGGATGTCTCCGACCTGGCCATTTAAGCCCACGCACGTGCAGCCAAGGTGCCGTTCGGGTTGAAATTCCATCTCCTATACAAATAAAACCACCGTGCAACGCTCTCGCAAGATGGAAATCTTTGATAAAAAGTTTTGAAACTAGTCTTGCACAAGCGCCACGCTATCAAATGTTCGCTTACTTCTACACAGTCAGTATTTTGCACTGCTGTCGCACGAAGAATGTCATCTTACGCCATGTCAAACTGCACGTTATTAGCATTACCACCAGATGACGCTTTCATATTGAATGTACAATTTGCGAATAGCTTTTCATCCATAATTTTACAAAAATAAAAGTTTTACCGAAATGTTAAAAAAGTACAATAACCAGATAACGTACTCCTGCTGATAAAACAGTTACAAAAAAAAATTCCATTTTTATACAGATTTCACACTGTCAAATTCAAATCTTTCTTCAACAACTACATTATTAATTAAGATTTTTTTTCATAAAAATAGCACTAAGACCCATGCTTAAGTTTGAAATTATTTTTTATAGTAATTACGTGAAGAACGATCATACAGAAAATTATTACCAGCTTGTTAAATATGAATCTGATTTACAATTGCTTTGTGATCTTCCTGAAGAGATGTTCATTAAAAACAGGTAAATAAGTATTAAATTATTTTAAATAATACTCCGCCATCACACACACAAAAAAACTGACTATAGGCACATTTATCTCCCATTTCTGATATATAATTTCATAGAATACAAAGTATACAATGCCATGAAACCAGAAACACGGCAAAGCCATGAAAGCCCTGAAGCGATAACCTTTCCTCGAGTATGTGTAAACACGTACTGGCCATATGTTGTTCGGAAGGAATACAATTTGGAAATATATTTCGGAATCAGATAATTTTCCTTGTGTGCCATTCAAGGGCATTACTTGAAACGTGGCAGCCAGTCGTAGGTTGTCACATCTGGCTGTCGCAAGTTGATGTCAAATGTCGGGAGGGACTTTTCTTTCCTCGAGCATTTTTAGTTAAATAATTTTGCACATACTTTAATATGCAAATAGAGACTTTATAAACGTAAGCTCGCGCTAATCCTTATTCATTTCAAATACGGAGAGGTGCTAAAATCAATAAAAACTGGGGACCGAATGATACAATCAGCTCTGCGTACACACGCACTAGTTTCCTCGGAAAGCATGTGCGCCGAACGAAGAGAAAATGAAGGAGCTGACCAGTGACAAAACTCGCAAAACTTGAGCAAGATTTCAAGAGAGGGAGTTGTTATTTAAGTGGGAAAGAATAGTAAACTAAAAGTTACAAATGACGACCTCTAATTATGCGTTGCGTAAACTGAAAGTTACAAATGACGACCTCTAATTATGCGTTGCGTAAACTGAAAGTTACAAATGACGACCTCTAATTATGCGTTGCGTAAACTGAAAGTTACAAATGACGACCTCTAATTATGCGTTGTGTAAATTCAAAGTTACAAATGACGACCTCTAATTATGCGTTGTGTAAATTGAAAGTTACAAATGACGACCTCTAACTATGCGTTGTGTAAATTGAAAGTTACAAATGACGACCTCTAACTATGCGTTGTGTAAATTGAAAGTTACAAATGACGACCTCTAATTACGCGTTGTGGTCCAAAAATAGCGTAACAGAACTTTGAACGAGAACAAACTTTATTTACAAAAAAGTCAAACTTGCACGTCTATGTTGTCTGTTTGTGGGGTTTTTTTCTTTTCCTTTTAAAAACATAAGGGCTGATTTATTTTATTAGTCCTTGTGACGAAATCAAATATTCACAACTCAGTGTTTTTATATTCAATTGTGTTTCCATCGGATTAGAAGAGGTTCAATATGTCAGAGAAATTCTAACAGATTTATTAAACAAGTTAACTGGCACAAACTACGACTGAGTAAATTTCAGGAAACGATCCTGCAATAATAAACAGTTTACATAACTATGCCTTTAGAACATCAGTACGTAAATAGAGAAACAACGCACACGAAAGATGTACCATACATTTACCTCTTGTTTCACAGATTCAATAACGTCAAAGGGTGAAGTAGCGGGAACTGCTTGATAATCACAGAAGACTAGTGGACGGTTGTGAGCCGCAGAATCTCCTGAAGGCATTCTCGGACCACTATAAGCCACGTCTCATCCACTGGCTTTACAGCTGAAGAGAGTCAAGATGGAAAAAAAGAATACATTATTATTATGTTCATACATAAAGGAAATGAGAAGTTTTCGTAACAACTCTGACGTTTTTCTTAGTTCCTTAATTAAATATTATACTACTAACAACCGGTTTCGTGACGCGTCACTATTGAGACACTTAGTGTTTGTGCGTCACTTACGAGACACTTAGTGTTTGTGTGAAAGTTCAGTTCCCTGAAATTATAGAAAGCACTTTTTGTTTGTATTATACAGTTTGTTGGTGTGATTTAACATGCACGATTTTCTATATATATTACTTTATTACGCTAAACTTCTCTCGACAGTATTAATATACTAGCTTAAGTCTCAGTAACTGACAATATTTACGATTCAATACTTGCGTTCAAGTTCGGCATTTCTGAATTTATAGATTCTTATACATTCCCGATTCAGAGCTTATCGATAACCTCTACTTCAACAACAACAACAACAAAAGTCCTTCGTATCGGAAAGCTCGTTTCATACGAGTTAAGGAACTGTGTTTTTGAGAAGAGTTGCTGAAAAACGTTCTCCTTCTCTCGTCATCCTGAATAAATCGAGATAGTTTTAAATAGGTTTATCGCGAAAAAAAAAGATAGAGAGGATATTTAATGAGATATAACAGAGTCACTTAAGAGTCACTGCGAACTTGCCTATCTGGATAGCTTGTGTGTTTGTTTGTGTTGAATTTCGCGCAAAGCTACACGAGGGCTATCTGTGCTAGCCGTCCTTAATTTAGCAGTGTAAAACTAGAGGGAATGCAGCTAGTGATCACCACTCACCGCCAGCTATTGGGCTACTCTTTTTACCAACGAATAGTGGGATTGACCATTACATTACCATCCCCCCCACGGCTGAACCCGCAGATTGCGAGTCGAGCGCCCTAACCACCTGGTCATCATGCCACGCCACCTGGACAAAAAACTAAATAACAAGAAATTCTCTGGTGAATACTTGTTTGCATAAATCATTAATCTACAAACGTCTAATTTCTTGAGGTAATTTCGCCGAAATGAATAAATCGTCGCGATCCAGATGAGGCAGAAAAATTGGCGCAGTTTGGAATTAAGTTTTCACAAATTAAGCCCAGTTGCTTGCTTCAGATAAATCAGACCACTCATTGGAAATGCGAGAGCTTTTCCACGCTTCATTGTAAAATATAAAATGAACAAGATATGTTACCTTTAAACAACACGCATTTGCAAATCAACAAGTAGTCTTGTGTTGTCTCCATTTCCAATTCAGAAACGTATATATTAAACTCTGTTATCGTTATATTCGCACGCTTTTAAACCATGCGTTTATTAGAAAGATTTACGTGATTATATCGAGGACAAACATGCCCTGATTTCGTCAAGCCTTAGTGTTACACCTTTAATATTAGAATAAAGCAAACAATGAGTTTATGTGTATGATACGGATTCTTTGACATTGAATTGAGTAATATAAATATTTAACATAACTAACAATTATCTTGATTCCTACCATTGTTTACAGGGGCGCGGGTTAGCCTTGAAGAAGAGCTTTTCATTTCAGAGCTGGCGAGGAGGGTTCGAATCCATGCCATATCATTAAACATTCTTTGTACTTTAAGTTTAAGCTGTGGGCGCGTTAATCCCTTAACGTGGATGGGCGCTGCTACCTATGGACCTTCGGGTAGCCTTACTAGTTTTGCAATACGTACATACAAAATACAGTTGTTTATTTTAACTGCGATACACATTCGAGTGCGCGTTCACACGTAAGTTTATGTTGTACAAAATGCGATTTCTGATGAAAACAATACACTAAAATCGTTCTGTTAATGAGAATAATCAGGTTGTAAAACACTAGTCTAGTTTTGAGCCTCAGCTATCTAAACACAATACTGGTTCAGTTCCCTATGATAATGTACAGCGCTAGTATAAAAAAAAAGTTAAATTCTACACGTGTACATATACAGAAGTTATTGAACGTCAAATATAGGCCATGCTACATATGAAAACTATCAACCTGTGAACAGGTTTCCTGGGTGTAAATCCTAGTATCTTCTGGTAGAAACAGAAGTAGAAGTCAACAACCGTTTGTTCAATTGTTAGAACTTTGGCAGTAAAAGTATATGTATAGAGTAAATAACGTTTAAGAAGCCTTCTGCGAATAAATCTGCTTTCTTCGCTCCCGCTCAAAATAGCTAATGGTAGTCATAGCAACGGGCATCGTGAACAAAATCCATTTCCTTCGTTCCAAATGTAAGATGAAATTTAATAAATCGAGATTCAAGAGTTAGTGGATGTCCAGAAAATTGTAGAACCGCTAACAATTACGTGTACTTGAAAAAAAACAAAAAAAAACGTTTGCTTCTCTTGCCAATAGAGAGGTAATCTCTTAGATATGCCAGTGTCAGGAAACTCACCAAAATGTTTTCTTATTCTTA